AGATTCTACATCAGGTCTGTTATTGGACTTGCCATCATCAGAGTCTTTATCTTTAGAGGAATCATCGTCAGAGTCAGCATTATCAGACGTATCACCATCATCTGTATCATCGTCAGAATTCTCATCAGCAGAAGACTCTTCTATTTTTTCTACATCTGCTGAAGTTGCCTCTTGAAGACCCATCTTGGCCAATATGCGTGCCTCTTTCTCAGATATTTCTGGCGCAGGGAGATTCTTGCCCATGAGCTTAGGTGGACACAATGCAATGTAGAGATTCTTTTCCTTTAGCCTAATAATGTACTTGCCATTTACAGTAAAGCTTTTTGCATACAGGAAAGCTGGATTAGTTGCATAACGCGTCCATATACATGTATTAGCGAGTGGTACATTTTTCTTGGACGTTATGTCAAATACCTTTGGACTCAACGGAAAGGAGACGGCAATTATATCTTCTTCATCATCATCATCGGACGGCTCTTCATCCGATGACTCCTGCTTGTTTCTCTTTCGCTTCTTTGGTTCTTCATCCTCGGAAGTCATATCGTCATCGGAAGACACAAACTTAGAAGTATGTGTCTTCTTTAAAGCCTTGGAAGACTTGGTACGCTTGTCGACAGGTGCGTTGTTGTTACTACGTTTTATATAACCTCTATCTTGATCTTGATGACGTCCACAGTATGTTTGACCAAGTTTGGCTACACTACCACAATTAGCACCCTTAATAGTTGTGCCTTGACACTTGCGCGCAGGATCGTGGACATAACAATGCATGCCTTCATCATCAACTTCCTTCATGCATTTGCGCTTGGACTTGGTGCACTTTTCTCCACAAAAGTAGTATCTCTCTACTTCCTCATCCTCATCAAGCGCCTTAAAGATCTTATTTGCATCTTTCTTGTTAAACTCCACTCCCTTCTTAGAGGAGAATGTCTCAAAGGCCTTGGTGATGAGCTCGATTGTAAGCTGAACGTACTTCATGTTTTTGGATATGAATAATATGGATTGTACTTGTGGTATGGTGGGTGTGAATGAGTTTTCAGTTTATGTGTGGTAGATTGCAGCTGCTTAGTACACTGATATAAAGAATTGCAATAAAAGATGGTTGTATAGGTATGGATGGTTGTATAGATATGGATAATTGTTGGTTGGTTACTAGATAAAGATTAAGCAAGAGGGAAGTGGACTCCTTTATTTATACTAATTCAGGAACACTGCCACAATGGACATTAATAGCGCTTGCTTATTAGCACTGCTTGGCGCTTAGTAACAAAAGAGTTTTAAAAAGGCATCTAAGTGGTTAATAATGTAGTGTTCCTCGTATGACGTAGATCTTGCTTATTAAGACTGCTTGGCATTAAAGACGGGGTTTAAAAATGGTTAAGAATGTAGTATTATTTTATGACGTAGGTTTGTACATGTGTTTATCCTCTTTGTTAAATAAAAAGGAATGCTGTAGAATAGCATAGAATAGCATCCGATCTACTACAATAATACCATGGCTTTTAATAATAGACACCGGTGCATATTAGCGTCTTGGCAGTTAATACCGTATCTTAAAGCTGACTAAATAGGCCATGTATGTCTATTCTTTTAAAAACCTGCAATAAGTCTACAGATTACCATTAACATCCATTTGTCGATTCGTACTTCTAAGCTCAATGGAAAGGCCGGGTTGCATTATTACTGCTTGATCCATTGGTGTGTCCTCATCAACATTAACATCACCATGAAGTTTAATACCAAGAAATTTGCTCTGGAGTTCTGCCATGGTATTTCCATCCTCCACTAGCGCACCAACATCAACATATCCCATTGGTTGCTCAACGTCGTTCTCTGTCGTCGGATACTCGAAGCCTTCGCGAAGCCAAGCTGTATGAATTGTGTCGCATATTTGCCTGTCTCGGGGGTGTCAGCTAATGTAATTAGGCTAGAGACAGTAATTTAGTCATATGACCAGACACCGACATAAATGGAGGTGTCTGGGCTGTTAACAAAGATCCCTCTCTTGTCTTATCAATTCGATTGTGCGTGACTAGCGTAAAAATTTTCATTTTTTTTGATAAATACAACACGGATCGGGATCAGAATCCGTCGAACGATTGACAGGATCCATCCACTCATTTATTTATTCATTCAACCCATTACGAGGAACACTCCATCAATCTACAGGAGCGATTCAGGACGTAACGGGAGCATTTACGGATCATTACAGAACAGGACCTTTACTGTCAGGATTTTTCTCTATTTTCAGGATAATCCAACAAGGACAGGATCCTTTTCTTTTATTTGTGGTCATTTCGTGCGTGTATCTGGTCACTAGTGACAAGGTTACAGCAGAGACTGATCATTAATACGAAGTGTAACAGGCGGTTACTTTCGTTGTTATTATTTGGTTACTATTCTACCTTTTTGTGTTGGAGCTTTCAAGTGCGATCATACATCTGTGTGGTCATTTGAGGTCTTCATATAACACGGTAGCAGAGATTCATTAGAAAACTCACCGTTAGTTTTGATCAAGGACATTCTTGTTCAAATAAACGCGGGATTCGTCTTTGTTGGCATTTAGGTGTGCCCTCATCCGAATTCATTTGCATCAGAAAACTTTTAGTTTTTTCTGGGTGTTGTTTTTTATTTTTATTTTGAATCAAGTGGATCACTGAGCAAAAAAGTACTGGAAGTTGACGTTAGTAGTAGCAGTATTATTTTTTCTGGGGTGCAGTCTGGTTGATCATCAGTTTTCAAAAGCTCATTTCGTTTTCTGTTTATTCTGCTAGTCTGTTTGTTTTCTTTTCCTTTAATTGGGTCATAGAGAATGGCAGCGAATACGGCAAAGAAGAACGAGGACGTTGGCAATAAGGTTGTTGGTGCGTTAGATGCACTTACCTTGACGTCGGGACGAGATGAGGGAGCAGGCATGGACGTTGATGTTGACATGCAGGAGACTGTTGGCTCTGACTTTATGGATGCCCATGCAGCCAGAGGAAAGATGAAGGAGTATTCGATGCAACTGGCGACGTTGACGAGACAGAAGATGCAGTTAGCCGCGCGCATCCAAGGGTTGAGCCAAGAGGAGGGCGACCAGGAGCGACCAAAGTTGGCGGAACTAACACGTCAGATCGCTGAGGCCAAGACCGCGATGAACGAGTGGAATGTCATGCTGGATGACCTAGAGAGTGCTGAGAGGTCCATGGGGAGGACGGCATTCTCTAGTGTTGTGACCAGAGAGGAGAATGAGGAGTTGGGGGTTAAGAAGGGTGGAAAGATTGACGAGATCAAGTTGTCGAATGAGTTTCCGCGTTACCATCGGTTGGTCGAGGCTCATCTGCTTCCTGTTCTTGACATCAAGATCCATGGTCCCTTGATTACCAACGTCCGAGAGTTCCTGTACGAATTCCATAGAATAGGAGTAACAAAGTTCACGACGGGCGGGTTCGATGAGAGATGTTCAAGGTTGTTGTGCTTGGCGAATATGGATCGCAAAGCGTCTGATGCCATGAATGCAGTCTTGAGTCGTGACCCTGAAGGAAAGTGGCCGTGGGCGAGATGCGAGAAAGTGTTTGTGGAGAGTGCTATGACGCAGACTGAGAGAACAGATGAGGTTGAGAAGGTGATCAAGATGGGGTTAGAACGAGGTGAATCGTACAAGCTGTACTACCATCGGATGAAGAGGTTGATGGATGTGTACCAAGTCAAGGACTTACCCAAGTTCGCTGATTTGTTATTCTTGCTGCAGAGAGCGGTCGACCCGAGCGTTCTTACGATGATCTTGTTACAGAAGCGCATTGCGGTCCTTGAGGGGATGCTGGGTGTGGCACCTGATGAAACAACCTTCGAGTCTTATATGGACAGTTTGCAGCATATGCAGGGACCCGCAGACAGTGATGAGTGGGCACCGGTTATTTTGGAGAGGAGACGATTGACCGGGGCTGCAGATAACGAAGCAGCGAGGCAGGCCCAGAGTTTAAAGGATAAGCTCATCAACCAGCAGAAGAGGGCAGCGGCAGCAGCAACGCTTGCGACGACAAGTGGAACGCGTGTCGGGGGGACTACTGGTGGTAGCTGTCAAGAAAGCAGACCAAGCAATAGAATGAAGTAGATAAAGAGAACCTTGATCAAGGACTAAGAAATGAGTATAAGGAATAGGTTAAAGAGTATGTTGTATTGGCGATACCAAGTAAAGAGCTATAGATTTGCTATGCGGCCCCTTCATGTGCAGAGGATATAAAAAGGCATATAAAAAATATCCAAAGTCCAAGGAACGGAGTGTTGACTTCCATAACTGGCATATCTCTTCATAGTGGGCAACAGAACACAGAATAAAATAGCAATAGACAGCACAAGAATTTTTAAAATGTAATCTCTCCCCTGTATTTCACGACAAAGCGGCCCCTTCATGTGCAGAGGATATAAAAAGGCATATAAAAAATATCCAAAGTCCAAGGAACGGAGTGTTGACTTCCATAACTGGCATATCTCTTCATAGTGGGCAACAGAACACAGAATAAAATAGCAATAGACAGCACAAGAATTTTTAAAATGTAATCTCTCCCCTGTATTTCACGACAAAGATACAGTTGAGAATACAAGTGCTTTAGATGATCACATACAAGAACTACTCTGTCGAATCTTGCAGTGAGGGTTACAGGTTAATAGTAGATGGACATATTCAAGAGTTTGGTGTGCGAAAAATAAGAAGACTTTGTTGTTTGGAGAATAGGTTGGTGTTTAGTAGGATAGTTAAACAAAAAATGTTACAATGGTTGTCTTATATGCTTGGTATCATATATACATTCTCCTCTAATGGACGCGGTGGATATCGTCAAGATCTGCAGAGATGTAACAAACACCATATGATAATTTGGACTTGAAAGGCCTCCTAGGTGGAAGTGTCGAAGACATGTTACATTTTTAAAAAGTTCATGCTATATATACAACCACAAATGCCAACTGTTGACAATTGGATAGTTTTTAAAATATCTACTCTTCATCTGTCTCAACAACTACCAAAACTTTACATCTGGAGAGTACAATTTAGGCAATTCCTCGATCGTGAACCCCATGGCAATTAACTTCTGCTTTTGTTTGTTGTTGGTAAATTTGTCTCGACTATAGTTACTGTCACCGTTTGCAGGTATCTTATACAGCAGTCCAACAATAATGTCCTCTTCGTACCTCTTGAGCAGATGACATCCGTCGAAAAGGTAGTTGGTTGCATATTCATGCTTCTTGTCAAACGAACATGTTGTCCATTTAATTTCGTCTTTATCTATGACGATTATACCCGAAGAGCTTTTATCTTTAGGGTACCTTTTCCACATAACATCCTCAGCATCTTTATCATCCTCAGCATCTTTATCATCTTCAGCATCGTTATCACCCTCAGCATCTTTGTCATCCTCAGCATCGTTATCACCCTCAGCATCTTTGTCATCTTCAGCATCTTTATCACCCACCGCATCTTTGTCATCCTCAGCATCTTTATCGCCCTCAGCATCTTTATCATCCTCACATGTGCTCTCATCTTTCTGTGGCAAGCTTTGCTTATGCTCATGCGGTTTAAATCCCATAGCAAACAACTTCTCTTTTTCCTTCTGGCTAAGAGAATGACACTCTACATTCTCTGCAGCAATATGGTCATCAGTCATCAAGCCGATTACAGTGTCTTTTTTGCGCATCTTGAGAATGTGCATTCCATTTACAAGTACATTCTCGGAATATTCCAAGTACTTGTTAAGTTTTTTCCATATCACCTTGGATTTATCTGTTGGTCCTTCTACTGGTACTTCTTCTTCTACTTCGATCTCCTCGTTGAAAAGCGTCTTTCTCTCTTCATCAGACAATGGTTGAAGTTTCATCTTGCTAAGCATGGAGCGTTCCAAGATATCCAACTCTGGAACATCACCGACACCGCGCAGAGCATCAAGCGTAAACAGGCCAACGTATGTATTCTTTCCAGATAGCCTGACAATGTACTTGCCATTCATCGTAAACTTAGTTGCATACTCAAGCATGTCGTTATTAGGATGAATCATCCATCCTCTGTCCTTCGCACGTGCTATGTCTTTCTCTGATCTAATGTTATGCACCGTTGTGGCCAGTGCAAATGTATGTTCATCTTTTCCATCCTTAGAAACGTCTACATTAGAAGATGGCTCTGCATTTTTGGGCATCTCTGAATGCCTTTTCTTTCGAGAAGTCTTCTTCTCATCATCCTTAGATGACTTTTTATGAGATAGTTTTTCATCAGGGTTATCCTTAGAGGTATCATCTCCAGATTCTACATCAGGTCTGTTATTGGACTTGCCATCATCAGAGTCTTTATCATCAGGGGAATCATCGTCAGAGCCAGCATCATCAGACGTATCACCATCATCTGTATCATCGTCAGAATTCTCATCAGCAGAAGACTCTTCTATTTTTTCTACATCAGCAGGAGTTGCCTCTTGGAGTCCCATCTTTTGTAATATACGTACCTCTTTGTCAGATAATTTCGGTACAGGAAGATTTTTCCCCATGAGCTCAGGTGGACACAATACAATGTAGAGGTCCTTTTCCTTCAGCTTAATAATGTACTTGCCATTTACAGTATAGTTTTTTGCATACAGGAAAGCTGGATTAGTTGCATAACGCATCCATATGCCTGTATTAGCGAGTGGTACATTTTTCTTGGACGTTATGTCAACTACCTTTGGACTCAACGGAAAGGAGACGGCAATTATATCTTCTTCATCATCATCGGACGGCTCCTCATCCGATGACTCCTGCTTGTTTCTCTTTCGCTTCTTTGGTTCTTCATCCTCGGAAGTCATATCATCATCTGAAGGGACAAACTCAGGAGTATGTGTCTTCTTGGTTATCTTGGAAGACTTGGTACGCTTGTTGGCAGGTGCCTTATTGTTACTGCTTTTCATATGACCTTTATGCTGCTCTCGATGACGTCCACAGTATGTTTCACCAAGTTTGGCTACACTACCACAATTAGCGCCCTTAATGGTTGTGCCTTGACACTTGCGCGCAGGATCGTGGACATAACAATGCATGCCTTCATCATCAACTTCCTTCATGCATTTGCGCTTGGACTTGGTGCACTTTGCACCACAAAAGTAGTATCTCTCTACTCCCTCATCCTCATCAAGCGCCTTAAAGATCTTATTTGCATCTTTCTTGGTAAACTCCACTCCCTTCTTAGAAGAAAATGTCTCGAAGGCCTTGGTGATGAGCTCGATTGTAAGCTGAACGTACTGCATGTTTTTGGATATGAACGATATAGATTGTACTTGTGATATGGTGGGTGTGAATGACTTTTCAGTTTATGTGTGGTAGATTGCAGCTGCTTAGTACACTGATATAAAGAATTGCAATAAAAGATGGTTGTATAGGTATGGATGGTTGTATAGATATGGATAATGGTTGGTTGGTTACTAGATAAGATAAAGATTAAGCAAGAGGGAAGTGGAGTCCTTTATTTATACTAATTCATGGGACACTGCCACACTGGATATTAATAGCGCTTGCTTATTAACACTGCTTGGCGCTTAGTAACAAAAGAGTTTTAAAAAGGCATCTAAGTGGTTAATAACGTAGTGTTCCTCGTATGACGTAGATCTTGCTTATTAAGACTGCTTGGCGTTAAAGACGGGGTTTAAAAATGGTTAAGAATGTAGTATTCTTTTATGACGTAGGTTTGTACATGTGTTTATGTATTCTTTTATGGCGTAGGTTTGTACATGTGTTTATCCTCTTTGTTAAATAAAAAGGAATGTTGTAGAATAGCATAGAATAGCATCCGATCTACTACAATAATACCATGACTTTTAATAATAGATACCGGTGCATATTAGCGTCTAGGCAGTTAATACCGTATCTCAACGCTGACTAAATAGGCTATGTATGTCTATTCTTTTAAAAACCTGCAATAAGTCTACAAATTACCATTAACATCCATTTGTCGCTTCGTACCTCTAAGCTCAATGGAAAGACCGGGTTGCATTATTACTGCTTGATCCATTGGTGTGTCCTCATCAACATTAACATCAACATCACCATGAAGATTAATACCAAGAAATTTGTTCTGGAGTTGTGCCATTGTATTTCCATCCTCCACTAGCGCACCAACATCAACATATCCCATTGGTTGCTCAACGTCGTTCTCTGTCGTCGGATACTCGAATCCTTCGCGAAGCCAAGCTGTATGAATTGGTTCTGCAGAAATCTTCAACAAAGCAACCATCTTTTTCATGTTTAAGAGTAACAAAGATAACTTCAACTGCAAATTATATGTTTGTTTCTTATCCACCAACACAGGAGTACGGTTGTTGTGTTTCTCAAATGTGGAACCAAGGTCTGCAAACAGAGATTCCATCTGCGAGCGGAAACTACCAAAGGTGGTATTGTATAACGCTTCTTCCTGTGTAAGTTCCTTGTTCTTCTGTTTACGGTATGGATGAGCGAAATTTTGGAGTTTAAGAGTATCAGACTCATCTATAAGCCTCCTTAAGAACTGTGGATACCCTCCATCGAGAGCAATGCAATCCATCTCATGCACTCTCTTGTCCAACTTCATCGTTAGCAGCATTGTTCCATCAGCATTGTTCTTGCAAGATGCAGATTTGGAGACAAATAAAGCCATGCCATTACAATCCATTGCTACCTGTGTGCGTAATCCTGACTTTTTCAGCTTGTAAGAGTACATATCAGCACTACTCTCACCTTTGTATGTTGCTCTTGTATCATGACCATCAAGATGCAATGTAACATGCTTAAATAATGGAGGATTCTTTTCCTTTGCAGACAAAAGGCGTATTTTAATTGTGGAGAACATTGTTGCAATACAGTTGGTGATGTACTTGTTGTGCAAAGTATATTCTTTCTTATAAAACACAGAGTGCATTGCATGAAAACTACTTTTTGGCATGTGTGGTTCCATTGCTTCCATAGACAGTCCTTTGACAAGATGATAGAGCATTAAAAGACCTTTCTCCACTTCTTTGTATGGACCAGGATACTTAACCTTTGGCCAGATGTCAACAAGAAAGAAGTACACTGGAATAGGACCAAGGCGTCGATTTAGGGTTTCTTTTATTTCTGGCATATACCCAATTTCCTTGCTTACAGTACGATGATTATTACGTGGTGTAATTGTTGGCCATCCAGCGTTGAGGAAAGTCCAATGGTCATCAAGCAGTTGTTGGAAGTGTTTTGTTAGATCCATAATAATATTTATGTATTGGATTGTCATGACGTTAACCAACAATAACAATTTTTTAAAAAGGCTTATACTTAACTGTATACACAACAGCATGTAGGATGGTATCTATCATACAGCAAGCACATAGTTGAGAATACAAATATATTTTTATATTTTATTCGGTAGCGGCCCCTTCATGTGCAGAGGATATAAAAAGGCATATAAAAAATATCCAAAGTCCAAGGAACGGAGTGTTGACTTCCATAACTGGCATATCTCTTCATAGTGGGCAACAGAACACAGAATAAAATAGCAATAGACAGCACAAGAATTTTTAAAATGTAATCTCTCCCCTGTATTTCACGACAAAGATACAGTTGAGAATACAAGTGCTTTAGATGATCACATACAAGAACTACTCTGTCGAATCTTGCAGTGAGGGTTACAGGTTAATAGTAGATGGACATATTCAAGAGTTTGGTGTGCGAAAAATAAGAAGACTTTGTTGTTTGGAGAATAGGTTGGTGTTTAGTAGGATAGTTAAACAAAAAATGTTACAATGGTTGTCTTATATGCTTGGTATCATATATACATTCTCCTCTAATGGACGCGGTGGATATCGTCAAGATCTGCAGAGATGTAACAAACACCATATGATAATTTGGACTTGAAAGGCCTCCAAAGATACAGTTGAGAATACAAGTGCTTTAGATGATCACATACAAGAACTACTCTGTCGAATCTTGCAGTGAGGGTTACAGGTTAATAGTAGATGGACATATTCAAGAGTTTGGTGTGCGAAAAATAAGAAGACTTTGTTGTTTGGAGAATAGGTTGGTGTTTAGTAGGATAGTTAAACAAAAAATGTTACAATGGTTGTCTTATATGCTTGGTATCATATATACATTCTCCTCTAATGGACGCGGTGGATATCGTCAAGATCTGCAGAGATGTAACAAACACCATATGATAATTTGGACTTGAAAGGCCTCCTATCTAAGGCCCTTTTATACTCGTTAGGGCGAAGTCACAAGAGCAAGCTCTTGTCTCGTGACAACCTCCCCCTCTAGGGCCGAGTTCCAAGAGGCCTTTGGCTGGGTTTGTGAGGGTGTTGCAGATGGAACTCGCGAACAAGGTCCGGGGAATTCTTGACACAGGCGGCCGGTTCCCAGGTTCGTTCGGATACGGGGTAGCCTCTCCAATGTATATAGTATTCAAGGTGGTTGCGCCTGATCCGTGAATCCAAAATGGCCTCAACCTCGTACTCCTCATCGCCGGAGACGACAAGCGGAGGAGGTCGTTTTGAGGCTCGACTGGGGATCGTATCTGGATGCGCACGCTCAAGTAAGTTTACATGAAAGACAGGATGTAGCTTGGTCGTTGGTGGTAAATCGAGACGGAAGGATCGAGTGCCGATTTTTTCGAGAATACGGTAAGGGCCCATGCGCTTATGGTCGAGCTTCTTGCATGGTCTGTTCGTTTGGAGGTTCCGGGCGTCTAGCCATACAAGATCTCCTACTTGCAGATTGGGTTGTGGTTGGGCCTTGGTGTCGAAGTTCCTGGCATGCTGTTCAATGGCGGTGTGAATATTGAGTTGCATCTCCGCATAGAGGTTCTTTAGGGCCTGGACGCGTTCCTGGGCTGGGACATTGTCCTTCGAGACTCTTGGGATGGTGATGGTGAATTTCGGATGGTAGCCGAGGTTGGCAAAGAATGGTGTTGTTTTTGTTGTTGAGTGTGTTGCGTTGTTGTATGCAAATTCTGCTATCGGTAGAAGGGTGCTCCAGTCCGTTTGCTGATAGTCGATATACCGTCGTAGGTACTGTTCCAGTATTGAATTTACTCTCTCGGTCTGTCCATCGGTGCGTTGGTGGTAGGCGGTAGAAAGCTTCTGATTGATCCCCAGAGACTTGAACATGGTGGAAACGAAGGCTGAAGTGAAGGTGGCGCCTCTGTCAGAAACAATGTCATCCGGGAGACCGTGGGCTGAAAATACGCGTTCTAGGAACAAACAGACCGTATCCTGTGCATTGATGTTGTCGTAGGTGGGGACAAAGTGTGCCATCTTGGTGAATCGGTCCACAAAAACACAGATTGCCGTATAGCCGTTTGAGGGGGGGAGTTGGGTGATGAAATCCATCGATACTGAGGTCCAGGGGCGATCGGGTACAGGCAGGGGTTGTAAAAGTCCATAAGGCTTGTGAGTGGATGACTTTGTCCGTTGGCAGGTGTCACAACCGTTGATGTAATCCTTGATGTAACGCCACATGGAAGGCCAGTAAAAGGTTCGACTGACAAGGTCTGAGGTCTTGGTAATTCCAAAATGACCGGCGGTTGGGGCGTCGTGACATTCTTGAAGGATTTGTTTCTTGAGTTCGGGATCGTCGGGGACGCAGACAAGGCCATCCCGCAGGAGTAGCCCATCTTGAATTGAGTACTGGGCATTGTCCGAGTTCGACTTTGCGGTCTTGGCGAGTATTGGACCAAAGTATAGATCATCGGGGATTAGTGTCTTGATTTTTTCCTGGATCGCTGGCGTCTCTGGTTGCAGTGACCGGGCCTGGATGGTGTTCAGAATCTGGATCGGCGGTAGGAGGGTCATCTCGGTCTTGCCGTGCTGGGCCGCACCTCCCTCTCCAGGGTTGTCCCGCCGGGACAAAGCATCGGCAGCGGCATTCTGGGAGCCAGGGCGGTAATGGATGGTAAAGTTGTAGTCAGACAAGATTTCAGACCAGCGGACTTGACGGCGGCTCAATTGGCGCGTGGTGGTAAAGTACTCAAGATTTCTGTGGTCGGTGATGACTTCCGTGGTAGCGGGCGAGAATTCCAGGTAGTGTCGCCAATGTTTAAAGGCAGACACAATGGCAAGGAGTTCTTTGTCGTAGATCTGATAGTTGAGTTCAGCAGGCAATAGTTTTCGGGAGTAGTAAGCGATAGGATGTAGGCGTCCATCTTGGTCACGCTGACTGCAGACAGCGCCGAGGGCCTTGTCAGAAGCGTCAGTTTCAATGATGCAGGGGCGATCTGGTTGGAAATGCCGAAGGACGGGGCCAGACATGA